ACCAAAATCGTCTACAGAGTTTTAGGTCAACATACACCAACACCAGTTGCAGTCCCAAAGGGAAGCCTCTTGGGCAACCAAGACCAGGCATGCCACAGCCAAGACTACAAACACAGCTGACTCAGGACCAGTCTAAGAACTAGATTTCCACTTCAAGCTACAAAGAGGCACTCCCAGGCACACAACAACAATCTTACACTCAGCAAACACTTATCACTGGAGCATCACGTACTCTATACTTTCAAGTGAAGCCTGTGTAAGCGTCCAGTGACAGCATGGTTCGACAGGTAGCTCAAACTATTACCGTGGCTTCAGGTGTGCCACAACAACGTGCAGACTGTGGTGTAAGAGACTTGAGACAGAAAAATTAGTGTTTCATGTCACATTTCTGTATTTTCTGGCTTACTTTATGGTTAAGACTATCTGGATATCCTTGCAGTGCCCAGTAAAACAGAACTATCCTAATCACGGCCTATGGACAGCACAGTAATGTAAATATTACTAAAGAACAAATGAAGCTCATTATAATCCCTTCTAGACTGACAAGAACTGGCATTCAAAGAAACCAAGGAATGTACAGTGTATCACTATCAGGGTTCATTTTGGGATACATAGTGCTATAAATTAACATAAAAGCATGTAATGTCCTCCCCACATTTTTCCTGTTAAAAGTGTGTACATTTAAATGAGCTTGTATAACTAATGCCATGAAAATCTGTCCCTAAATCTTTTGTAAATAAGCGCCCTTATCTTAAAAAGTAAACAATTGTGTCTTCCTTTTTTTTTTTTCCTGTTTAAGGCTACTAAAAATGTTTATGTTGTGGAAGATCAGTTCAGAAATCAGACCAGACTTTTTATAGACTTTATTCATAATAAACCCCTGCCTGGGAAAACGTAAGTGATGCTAACACACCTAGAGCAATCAACGAGAAGCACAACTTGTTTACTCTGAGTGAATAACAGACTGTCTTGCAGCGTAAAAACTGCTTTGAAGCCTGGGCATTTCATACAAAAATTTGTGTTTTACTGAGTTCTTGAATCAAATCATGTCTTGAAACTACTACTATTTCTCAGGAAGTAACTTCAAGATCAGGGGATTTACTGGGTTTCATACTTACATCAAATGCTGAAAATAAAGATGCTGCGAGAGGGGAAAAAAAAAATCCAACATTTCTGCTTCCATCCATAAAACATTGCTTGCTTCTCATGCTTAAGCATAGCAATAAAGCTTTGTGTCAAATATAATGCATACACACAGACCTTTGGCCAAAAAATAAGTTTTTCAAACTACAAGTTTCCAATTCCACAAGATCTCAGACAGCCCTTACAAGTGCCACAGAACCAAGTCCATTGACTACCTGTTACAGAATCAGGCCTAGGGACCTGGAGCCTTGTAATGAGCTCTAGCAAGACATAACCCCGGGGCCTACACAAAGGTCACTGCTAGGCAAAAGCTCCAGCTCTGCACATTGTTAGGGGGTGTGGATTAATAGTGTAGCAGTTTACACTGGGACTAATATGCTTAAAATAGAAATATGCCTGGCTGTTTGCAGAACTGTTAAATTCCATCCTTCTGTCATCCATAAATTCAGAACTTCTGAAAGAAAACAGAGCTTCCCACAGGTTTTTTTCAGAACAATACTTTAAGAATTGTTAGTCAATTCACTTTCTAAGTGACCTGTCATACAATTGATATCAAACAATTATCTTGTAAACATTACGGTAAACAAAGACAAAGGGCAGTATGTGTTCTGTGCAAAAACGTTTAGTTTAGCAAGAAATTTCTAAAACAAACTAGATTACGTTTTCTGGACCTCTTTCAAAACACTGTTTCAGTAGTTTCAGTGAAGAGGTGATCCCAAATGCTCAGCAGGGAGAAAAGGAAACTGCCGTCAGTCTGGCTCACACATTTTGGACATGACCTCATTCTTTACTACCACTTTTCATTTTTGCTCTAGTGCTTTAAAAACCAAGGCCTAACATTATTCTTATACATTATCTCTAATTATTACTTTAAAAATGCAAAGAACACAACAAGTTATAAAAGAAAGTATACCTCTGTTATAACTCTTTCTCATACAGTGAGAATGTAAGCAGCACACACAATATACCATCATATATAACTTAGCATCCAAAGACACACACAAAATAGTTACGTTTCTTTAAAGTATGCTTGTTTCTCTGAATGGAACACCAAACCTAACATTATTTGACCAGCATTTTTTGAATTTAATTACATAGCAATAGTGGTGCTTAATTCCCTGATAAATATGACTAAAAAAGCCAATTTTCCTTTTCACAAATAGCAGGTTTACCTCTTAAGTTATACAGAGCCATCAAATTATCCATACTCTAGTTATATTTATAAAAAAATGTTAAAGTAATTTAAGAAACTGCTTTATCTAAAACGGAGCATCTAGCTGCCTAAATCCCAATTACCTTAAAATAGTTCTAAAAATAAACTCATATGGGAATTTTGGTGATTTCTTGAAATACCAAGTTTAGTGTTACAACTTTTTTCTATTTGACCACACCAATCTTGATCAAGTTTAAACAATGATTATTTATCAATCCATCAAAACCGAGTGAAGTTATGTCTTCAATAAACAATTGTCATCAGTATACCATTGATAGTTTAGTCTTATTTTGAACCTACTATTTAAATAAGCACTCAGTTTACAATACTGATGTATTCACCACCTCTCCAGTTGAGAAAGAGACACATGCTAAATTAAGTAAACATCACAATTATTCAAAACAAGATATTGGAATTACAAGCTTAGCTAAACTTAGTAACAATTTTAACAACCCAACAGTCCTCTGATATTGACCTTTAAGCGGATTTTACTCCAGCCTCTGGGCTCTCCTGAAAGTTAGTTTTACATATACATTTCTGGTTTTCAAATAAAACGCTGGCCATCACTGAATATCGTAGTTCCCCAGCAAGAGAGAGGCCAACATTCAACTACCATAGTATCTACTCACATATCTTTGGAAAGAACAACCACCACATGGAACTGGACCTCACCAGAGTTGAGAAAAATAAAACTCTACCCAAATTCTTTTCTAGGAAGCACTCTGTTCTTCACTTTGTTGGAACACAATACACCTGCTAGCAGACCGCAGTGTGCAACCAGGAAAAATGTTTAAGATTTGAGATAGCTAAACTTCCCGCTAATCACAAACTTCAACTGGTAAGTACATTAAATTCCTCAGCATCTCTAGAAATCATGGTTTTTAGTCTTTGTTCATGAAGCAGTGCACAGTGACAAGCCTCTGAGAAGCAGGGAAGGTACCTTGCTCGCCACGGAGAACCGAGAGCAGGTTCCAAAGGATACACAAGGCCTACTGCATAAAAGAGATTTCGTGCCCAAAATGAAAACGGATTTCAGTGGTGCCAGTGGGGAAGTACCTGCTGTACTAACCCTCCGACCTTCCCGGCTGTTTTGGTAACACCTGTAAAGAGGAAACTTCGGAAAGAAGCAAGAGATCACCGCCCCCCCCCCTCCCCCCCACTGCGAAACACCCGGGATCTCCTTCC